TTAGCAAGAATGAAGCAGGAGGCATTACAATACCATCCCTTAAACTATACTTCAAAGCTATAGTAACAAAAATGACCTGGTATTGGCACCAAAGTAGACATGTAGATCAATGGTACAGAAGAGAAGACACAGAGACAAACCCACATATAGTTATCTCATATAGACAAAGGTGCCAAAAACATACATTGGAGAAAAGATAGGCTCTTCAACAAATGGTGCTGGGAAAACTGGAAATCCATATGCAACAAAATGAAGCTAAAGCTCTATCTTTCACCATATACAAAACTCAACTGAACGTGGATCAAGTACCTAGGAATTAGACCAGAGACCCTATGCCTAATAGAAGAAGAAGAAGGTCGAAATCTTCATCATGTTGGATTAGACCCCGACTTCCTTAATAAGACTCCTACAGCACAAGAAATAAAATCAAGAATCAATAAATGGTACGGATTCAAACTAAAATGAGGTAAAGAGAGAGCCTACATTTTGGGAGCAAATTTTTGCCACATGCACATGAGATAGAACACTAATTTCCAGCATACATAAAGAACTCAAAAAACTTAACACCAAAAAAACAAACCACCCAATCAATAAATGGGCTAAGGAGCTGGAAACTGCTCAGAAGAATACATTTGATCAACAAATATATGAAAAAATGTTAAACATCTTTAGTAATTAAAGAAATGTAAATCAAAACTACTCTAAGATTTCATCCCACGTCAGTCGGGATGGTGGTTATCAAGAATACAAACAACAATAAGTGTTGGTGAGAATGTGGGGGAAAAGGCACACTCACACATGGCTGGTGGGACTGCAAACTGGTGCAACCAATCTTGGAAAGCAGTATGAAAATTCCTTAAAAAACTTGGAATGGAACCACTATTTGACCCAGCTATCCTACTCCTTGTTCTATACCCAAAGGACTAAAAATCAGCATACTATAGTAATGCAGCCACATCAATGTTTATAGCAACTCAGTTCACAATAGCTAAACTGTGGAAGCAATCTAGATGTCTTTCAATAGACGACTGGATAAAAAAAAAAACAAAACTGTAGTATATATATACAATGGAATATTACTCAGCATTAAAAGAGAATAAAATTATGGCATTTGCATGTAAATGAATGGAGTTGGAGAATATCATGCTAAGTGAAGTAAGCCAATACCAAAAAAACAGGGGTTGAATGTTTTCTCTGATAAGTGGATGCTGATCCATATGGGAGGGGGGCATGGGAAAAATGGAGGAACTTTGACTGGGCAAAGGTGGAGGAGGGATGGAAAGGGGCTATGGGAGCAGGAATGATGGTGGAATGAGATTTGGACATTAAAACCCTAGGTACATGTAAGACTGTGCAATGTAATATGGTGCAATGCTACATCACGTACAATCAGAGAAATGAAAAGTTGTGATGCAAGTTTTACAACGAATCAAAATGCATTCTGCTGTCATATATGGCTAATTAAAATAAATAAATTTATTTAAAAAAATAATAAAACATGCATATTAGGGTAAAATTATGTGGGGAAGTAGAATGAACATTTTAGGTGTTTCTTCATATTTTTTAAAAAAATGAATGATGGTTGATATCCAATTTTCACAGAATTTTCTTTCTATAGAAACACAGGAAAAGTAATTGAACTGGTGCATTTACAGTATATTTTAAGTTATATCCTTTCCAAAAATTGAAGGATATGATGAATAATTATAGATGGGGAGGACTTGTGGATGGGTCTGTCTTTAGGGGAAGTATAGGAATTGAACTGTTGAGTTTCAGATGTCTATGGCATTTATAAAAATGCAGAATAGTCATTGAGTTGTGCATTATTGGGAGAAAACTCTGAACAGGAAAAGGAAACTCTGTATTTGGCACAACAGTTTTACAACTAGCAAACAGAATCATATCATCAGAGAAATCAATGAAGTTTAAAAAGATAAGGATTAAGAACTATGTCTCTTGTGGCACCACAAGAGTAAGGGTTCCAGCAGAGATTGAGAAGGAACAACTAGTGAAAGAAGAAAAATTAAGAAAATGTATTCTTGGAAGCTAAGTGAAGAAAATACATAAGAAAGGGTATTATCAACTATGCCAAACTGTAATATGTCCAGTATGATGGGGGCTGAGACTTGAACTCTATATGTGGAGATGCACAGAGTGATTGGGATGAGGGCCTGAAAGGAAGAGGTTTAAGGAGTTGGGTAAAAAAGAGTTTGAGAACTGGAGAGTAGTTGGTAAGGAAACTTGCATCAAGAAAGTTTTTGTCCTGATTTTGCTTATTTTCTCAAAGTAGAAAAATTAACTGCTTATTTTTTAAGGAAATAATTCAGTAAAAAACAATACAAAATATGACTTTGTAGAGAAAGGAAAGAATTGCAGGAACAATATTCTTAAGTAGATGTAAAGAAAAGAGTTCATATAATAGACATGAAAGTGCTATCCTGCCTGCAGCGTTGGAAAGGTCATCCTTGGAGTGTGGGGACTTGGTTTTCTGGAGGTTTCTCCTCAATACCAGAACTGATAAGAGTGGCTCAATATGCTGAAACTATTTGTACACTCAGAGTAGTTTATGCTAAACACCTAATTTTACTGGGAGTAAGGGATTTGGACATGCCCTAGGCAGAATGTGAGGAGGTTACCAGCCCACTATTAAAGCCTAAGTGCATTGAGTCTCTAATGATTTTGCCTAGTACACAATGCTTTATATTTGTGGTCATATATTGTTTCTGGAGAAGGTTAAGTATGCCCCAGGGACTCTTGTAAGCTTGTTCCTGATTTCTCCTGGACTTTATTCTATGAGCCTTTTCTCCTTGCTGTTTTTGCTCTACATCATTTCACTGTAATGAAACAGCCATGAACATGACTGTATGCTACGTCCTGTGAGTCTTTCTAATGATCAAAAAACCTGGGGGGGGGGGTACCGTGGGGGTTCAGTGTTAGAGCATGTGCTTAGCACACGTGAAGCACTGGGTTTGATCCTCACAGCACATAAAAATAAATAAATAAAATAAAGGTATTGTGTCCATCGACAACTAAAAAAATTAAAAAAAAAACTAAGGGTGGTCATGGTGACTTCTGAAGAGTCAGTAAGAAGAAATAAGCTACAGGGCACATGTGGAAATGCTGGCCTTAGATAGAAGGATGAGTAGTTATTCTACAGTAACAGGAAGGCAGGCAGACTATACAGGTGAAAATGCTAGTGGCTAGAGAGATGTGATGATAGAAACTTATAGAATTTCTCTTCTTGCAGCAGTTTTCTCAGTAAAGTATAAAAGTGTGGTCTCCTTAGTTTGAAATGTGGAAGGAGGTAGTAGAGGTGTAAGAAAAAATAATAAGTTCTCAAGCAGGAGAGTGGAGGACAATAGAATAAGGAAGTCAGATATTATTGCCATATAGCACTAAGGACTTACTTATGGTCCATGGGCACCTTATAAGGTGAAGTCTAAGAAGTATGGTTTTCTTTTTGCATGGGAGTAGGCATTTAGAAAGTAAAAAAGTTGCGTTTAATTAAGGTTGTTTTCTCAAGTAAGTATACTTGAAAGAGGGGCAAGGAACTTAATGTCATATATAAGAGTGGTTACAACTGTTGACCATCAGAATTAAGCTAGAAAAACACCAGAAAGAGGGGGATAAATAGCAATAAAAAAAGGTGGTAAGATAATTATATTTCATCTAGTCCTGGGATTGAAAGAGAAGGGTATAGGTTAGAAAATTTGAGGAGCTGGTTAAAACATTTGACCTGTGAAATGAAATTATAAAGAGTTACAGTTATCAGGGAAGTTACAAGTTTCAGGGAAGTGAATAAGAGTTAGAATAATGCCTAAGATGATTGAAGAAGGGAGTTCAAAAAACAGAAGGTCCAAAGGGACAAAATAATCCTCTATGCATGCCCTGACATCAAAAGTGATTTAAGAAAGAGTACTGAATACTGAAAGTGAGCAGGAAATATTGAAAGTGAGCAGGAGCTAAAAATGTAGAAAAATAAAAAGGGAAGAACCCGAGTCCAAGAAATGACAAATGACAAGTGCAGAGCACTAGTCAATTTGATGAAATTCAAAACTCAGGAATTTGAGGAACAAGGGAGGGAGAATACAGTGTAATCAACAAGACAAATGGGTGAGCAACATTTACCCCATCTCCAGGGAAAGTAAGGAAAAATGCTTCCACTTGAGATGACTACCCCAATGAACAGCCAGGAATGAAGGGAACATTAAGAGAAGAGATAAAAAGATAACAGTATATGAATTTCAGAGACCTGCCGCACCAGATAAGGAAAGAGTAAAAGAGACAGGACTAGACAGTCATATATTCTTGCGGATATGTATAACAGCTTTAGTTGCATGACATTTACTTTGTAAGTATGTAAATAAATGTGAGTGTATATATGTACATCCATATATATGTTTATCATTGCACTTTAACTTAGTACTTCATTTGAGTATTTAATATTAATTGCACTCCAATTATCATTCCAGATATCTGGGTATACAGCAATGAATAAGACAGAGTACTTGGCCTTATAAACATAATTTATGGGTAGTAGATGCAATAAACAAGTTAAAAAAATGAGTAAATAAATTGAGAACATGATAAGTGTTACAATGAAAATAATAGGGTAGGGAATAGATCACAACATGAAGGTTATTTCAAATCAGATGGATTAGTCAAACATTTTCAAAATGAGAACTTCATACAAAAAGGAAATAATATTCACAAACAATCTCATATTTTAAGACATTAAATGTCTAAAGTGAGCTAGGTAAAACATATATCAATCATTTGAAAGAAGAAAAAGAAGTTGGTCTCCAAACTACCCCCCCCAAATAAAATTGACTTAAATATCCATTTGTAGGCTGCTTATTTTGCAGTCTGCTCACTAAGTTTCAGCCTTCAAGAAAACTTCAGAGCACTTTCACATTTACAACATAATTCAATGTGGTCATCTACATCACAATACAGAATGGGCATCTCTTTTATTCTTGTTTCTCTAGATAAGCACTTACCGCCTTTATCTCTGCATCTTTCTTTATGTCATCAACATAGGAAAGCACAAAATCAATTTGCCTGACTCCATCACGGAAGAAGACAGAATCTTTGCTTTGTGCCCTTTTTTGAAACTGCAGGAGACATCAATGAGATATTTAAAAATATTGTTTATTTTCAAATAGCAAACGTAAGAGGATATTATTTAAAAGTTGATTACCATCTTATATTTGATCTTAAAATAATAAGTTAGGCAAAGAACCATGAGTTTTCATCAGAAGACAATGCTTACTTTATAAAGTGAAATTTCATAAGGGGGGTTAAATAAAAACAACTCAGGAGGAAGGTAAGAATATTAACTACATGCACACACAACAATGCTGCAACTATACCAAATTATAAAATGAACATATGTATATATTAATCCCAAAATGCACAGAGTCTTATTATACTTATTAAACATACCAATTAGTTCATTAAATAACAATGATTACACACTTCTTCCAGGATGTGATTAATTTCAGACCAATTAATGGTATCTTACTATAAGAAAATAAATTTCTGATTGATAGTTCCAGATATTTTCATATAATTATCAGTTTTTAATTCAACTTTTGAAGTGTTAAGAATAAAATCAAGGCACAGTTAAAAATTAGAAAGCGGGTAGCCTGCTAGTTGGTCTCACTGTAAATAAGTTCTCATGCAAATCTCTCTTCCATCATTGATCTTGGGTGAGTTACAATCAATCTTTTGTTTAAATTTATGGAATTATCTCACTATTATAATCAAATTTACAAGTTTAGGTTTCATATGTTGTATAGTTCATTTATTCCTTCCCTTTCAAAACAGCAAAAAAAGTACTACAGAGCTTAGAAAAAAGAGATTTCATGTTTGATTTATTTAGTCTTCTTTACAGTCTACATGCAATATGTAATATTTGATACTTCTAGTAGTTCGCATGTAAAATTTAGAATCATGCAAATAAATTATGCAGTGGATGTCCATGCGATCATTTTCTACTTGATTAAGCTAACTTGCAAATGGAGAACTAGATGTCTGTATTTTCATAACTGGTGGTTTTATTAGTTTTTTATTTTCTTTTATGGTACCAAAGAATTAAAATGTAGAAACTCCAAAGTTATGTCTGAGTTTTTGGCACACCATATGAAGAACTGAATAATCATTTACTCTTTCCTATAAGAAAGTAAAATAACCTGAGAAAACTCACATTGCTATATGTTATATGGTACACTATGATTATAAATCAGTCAAAAGGAAAAGAACTGAAAACAAAACAAAAAAGCATTGGCACTCTTATAAATCATCATAATATAAGCCCATCTTATGTAATTCCCCCAAATTTATGGAAGCTAAGTGGGATGAAAAAACTAAGCAAACTAAGTATAGTCTAAGTACAAATTTAGAGATAGAGAAGAAAAAAAAAAACACTCCTCTTGCTCTGATTCTGTTACAGCCACATATATGGTAGGTTTGTTAAATGACTACTATTTTTACAAATGATCATTTTGTTTATAGAAGCTAAATGTAAGTCCACAAAGAACAGTTCTAGAACAACCCAAACTTCTCTCATATATAACACTGATTATAAATTGTAACATATTTGTAAAATACAGAAAAAAAATCACTGGTGTCTTTGCAATCACCATTAGGCACATGTTTTAATATTGTTAACAAAAACTGACTAAAATTAACTGGGGCCAAAATGTATAATTCTGTTACATATAATAGAATACTATTAAAACACATCTTGTCTTTGTTTTGTTCAAAACATGACACAAAGACCATATTTTATAATACATGCATACATTAGTGTTTATATTTGATTCTGAGAAATGTCTATAATTAAGCAAACGTCCGGAGTGACTTCTCTTTGAATAATGGGTTTATTCTGAGGTTCATGACCTGTATTCCTGACAGGAGTTCATATACCTCTGAACTACATAAACTCTCTGTGCCTTAATATGTGTATGTGTATGTGTGTGTGTGTTCATATACATTTTTAGGAAGAGGGTACATAGATCTCATTATATCAATGATTAAGAATCACCATTCTTAAATGTCAATTGTCAGGGAAGTAGGAATTGGCAATAAAATCCCCCCATATTAATAGTATTCATTGGAAGAAAATTGAGCCATCCAGAGCATAAGCAACATCATTCAACACTGTTTTACCATAAGACGCCGCTTCAGGAACAAATTGAATCGCTTTGCAGGCTGTGAAGCAATCAACAGGGAGTTAGCAAACTTACTCAGGATTAAAAAGTTTAAAAAACAGAAAATCACTATTAAACAAACCTTTAGTGTGATTGCTCTGTGTTGTGTGGGTATGTGTGTGTTTGTGTGAGAGAGAGAAAGAGAAGGGGGGGAGATATTAAAGCTGAAGGGTAAAAAGGTTAACAAGAAAGAAAAAATGGGAAAGAATAATAAAAAATTACTTCAAAGTAAATTTCCCTAAATTGTTTGTAAAGAAAATGTAGATGAAAGATGTTTGTGAAATTGAATTAATGAAAAAAAGAGAGGTATAATGAACTGAAACATGGCAATAATTGAAATATAAAGCAAAAATATATATTCTGTAAATATGCCTCTATACATCAGACAAAGAAAGCAAAATTACTAACATTAAATATTCTAGGATGATATATAATGTGGAAAGTTTACCCAGGGTTTATTTCTTAAATTTCCTATAACTTCCTAAAACACCGAAGAAAAAGTCATTCAATTATTGAAATGCTGAATTGTATCCTAGTTTCTGTTATCATGGATAAAATACCAATATGTAAAATACCAATGAAATGTCTTTAAAATATCTGTAATAAGCAATGATATCTGAAAGAAAACGAAATCAATAGCACAAAAAGGCCAGTATTGTGCATACCTTACAGTGTCATGAAAGAATAATAATCCAACAAAATTACCAGTGAAGGGGTTCAGTTCTTAACAAAAAGTTTTGTTTCAACTATTCTCTTTCTGGAATAGACTGAGGGGACCTAGGCAACCGGTGACCATTGCGGGTGAAAATTCCTGTTCTATAAAGTAATGAGCAGTTTTGTGTGTAAAAAGACAAGAAAAACAAATCAAGAGATAAGAGAAAAGCCTAAGTGCCAGACAGGAAAGTGGAAAACATAGACAAACAGAATTATAGAGCCAAATAAATTAAAATGACCTTTCAATGTTGAAAAAATTAGTATCTCACTCACATAGAGAGAAATGAAAATTTAAACTAAAGCAAGGATACTGAACAATTTGAAATAGCTCTCAAAAGGCTCTCAAATGGACAAAGATCTAAAGGCTGAGGAGGCTGTAGGGAGACAGGCACTCTCATTAGAATAGATGGGGTGGAATCCGATGTAGAAAGATATACTGGCCAAAGTAGCTTAAAATTAACCCCCATGGGTATTCATTGTAGCCTATTGGACAGCCTTTTAAGAATTGAACCAAATAAAAATAGTTAAAACAGAAGGACTGAGAGGCCAAAGAAGGAAGAAACTTCTTTTTTTCTGAAAACTCTTTATTTCTCATTTTCAACTGAGATGGATTTAACTTCAAGTCAATAAAGTCTAAGCCTCAGGGCACTTTACTTGCACCTGCCACTTCAGAGGATTTAGGAAAGACCCTAGCAATATGTTCTCATATAGTTAAATAATTTTTCAATTGATTTTCCTTAAGGAAAAACACCTAAATTTTATAAGCTTTAGGCATCATTCTTATTTGATCTGTGGTTTTCAACTTTGGAATCATGTAAATGATTCCAAAACCAAAAATAAATAGTAAACCAACAAAATTTCAATTATTTTAATTTGATCATCTCCACAATCCTCATTCAGAATACTAAAGCTTAGGACCCTGGTAAAAAACAAACCATCATCTATGTTGAAACTCTTATTTTCCCACCTTCCAAAATGGCATTTTTTATTTGCAGAGTGAAAAATTTGGAGTCTCTCTACTGACTTCTTAATTGGTATTTAAATTTAATCTTAAATTAGTTGTATTTCTTCATGATTATTTTTAGGCATCTCTTCATAAATAAGAAGGGTTATGTAACAGAAAAAAAAATTCCAAACTAGGTATCAGAAACTTAGCTCTAGCCAAGCACGTTGGCACATGCCTGTAATTCCAGAGGCTGAGAAGGCTGAGGCAGAAGGATCTTGAGTTCAAAGCCAGCTCAGCAACTGAGCCAGGTCCTAAAACACTTAGCAAGTTAAATAAAAAGGCTGGGGATGTGGCTCAGTGGTTAAGTGCACCTGGGTTCAATCTCTGGTACCAAAAAAAAAAAAAAAAAAAAGAAAGAAAGAAAGAAAATTAAGAAAGAGACAAAAAAAATACCATAATCTTAGCTCTAGTCTAGGATCCATCCTTTAACCACCCATACTGATGATGTGGATCAAGTCATAAACTCACTGGACTTTTCATTTTCTCTTTTGCAAACTAGAAGTTATTAAAATGCAAGCAAAATGCTATGCTTAATATGTCATTCTCATTAGTGTGACTGATGTTATTTTCCCTACATAAGGTATTTTTACAAAAGTAATGAACTATCAAATACCATGTGTTAGGGTCTTCAAAAAGACTACATTGGGAAAGATAGCATCACCTTGCAGTATGCAAAAAGGTATCCCATGTGTGCCATTGTTAGTACCAATTGCTTACCATTCTTTCTTCATTGATGAGAAAACAGGTTTCTGCGCTGCTCAGGCTCTGTTAATAGCGTGGGGGGGGGGAGATATAATGCTGTCAATAATAGTGTCCATCAAGCCAAGTGGAACTTTTAAATTTCCATAACAAAAAAATTAAGGTTTCCTATGCACAGATACAAAAATGGGAACTCAAGTGAATTATGAAACTCCTGAAAGTGGGCCTCAAATTTTGTATATACATATATATCCATGTACATGTATGGATCTAGATATCTATGTATGTGCCTGTATGTATACAAGTCTCTGTATATAAAGAGAAGGAATGGATCTTTTAGAAAGAATGATAATTTGGGAAGTACTTTTATTAAATAATATGTGACCTAAGAAATGCTTAAGAATGTAATAATTTTATAGGGAAAGAACCAGAAGCTCTATTCTTCGAATGCACTGAATTTTGAACAGGATCAACCAGAACAGCAAAATTAATTGGTATTTTCTGCCTTACAACATTGGTTTTATAAAAGTTATCATCAGGATTCTTAAGAATTTATAGTTATATAAAACACTCATAGGGCAATCTGGGAGGAGTTAAGTGGCAAACCATGCCAGGAAGAATTGATCTCTTTGTGTTATTAAAGAGGAAGAAGAGATCATTTTGAACACATGTAAATTACCATAGCATTTTATTCAATATAACTTTACACAAAAAGTAGTGGGAATGATTAAAGACTTGCTAAAAATACTATTCCACTTACCTGTGATTCTAACTTGTGGACTGTGAATGATTTTCACTAGCAAATCTAAATATGTCAGTTATCAAATAAGGAATATCTTCATCAGTCAATTCTGAAATAGCAGTCTCTACAAATAAAATGTATAGTTCCATAGTATATTTTCATCGTATATTGCTTTTTTATAACTTTTTAAAAATTATCCTACAGAAAGGTCAGTTACTTTGCTTATAAAAGAGTACAAAAAAATTTAAGAAATATTCCAAAAGCAACCAGTGTAGTACCTTATAATCTCTCACTTCAGGAAAAATAAATTTGGTCTGATTTCCATCAAAGTCTGCGGTTATATCTCCAGTTGGCAAAATGTAAAATAAAATAATGAGTTTTTCTACTTTTTGTTGAGTATTGCATTATCTCCCTTCTTACTGACCTCTTTATTTGGCAAAAGACTGTTATCAATTCTACATTTCCCTCAACAGTGGCAATAACCTTCATTTCTCAGGTGCCTTCTTTCTTGACTCCAACCATCAAAGGATTTAGTGAAATAGTACAAAATGAGACAAAATGAATAAATGGAAAGTAATACAAACTTTAGTAGCAAAATGGGACGCTATTCAGAAGCTATAAATCATCATAGACACAGAGAAGTCAGTCATTCTGAATATTTGGAATATTAAATAGGAAAGATGTGGAGATTGAAATTCAGAAAAAAACATAACAAAACTTCTACATAGGAATTTTCTGGTTTTGAATTAACTTATTATGCATATTTCATTATGTATATTTAAGGTATTCAATATAATTTGATCTCACAATGGTTTTAATTTTCATTCTCCAATTGTTTAGCACATATTTTGGGCATTCTTATGTCTTCTTTGGAGAAATAGACATTCAGGTCCTTTGCCCATTTTTTTTTTTAAACTGGGTTACATGTTTTTCTACCTTTGAGTTGTAGAGTAAAATTTACAATATTAACACATTGTCAAATATGTGGTTTGTAATTATTTTCCCAGTCCATGGATTGCCTTTTCAGTTTTGTTATTTCCTTCCCTGTGAAGAAGTTTCTAGTTTGATGTAGTACGGTTCACTTATTTGTTTTTGTAACCTGAATTTTACTGTGATACTCAAAAATTCAAGGACAATTTCCAGGAAATTTTTTCCTAAGATCAGTAGTTTCAGATCTCACATTTAAGTCTTTCATCTATTTTATCCATTTTAAGTAGCCGGTATAGGATTTAAGATAAGGATCCAAATACATTCTTCTACATGGAAATCCAGTATTTCAAGAATCACTTACTGCATAGACTATCCATTTCCCACTGAGACCTCTTAGACTGAGCCCTTGTCAAAATTTGTATGACTCTATCTTTTTGGATTTATTTCTGGGTTCTGTATTCTGTTCCACTAAGCGTGTCTGTGTTCGTATGAGTTTACATATGGATTTTATAATTTATTTATAATTTATTATTATTTATTATTATTAAGCTACTATCATTCAATCAGAAATACATAGAAAACTTCAACAAACCAATAACGGAGAGAGATAGAAGAAATAATTGTAATCCATCAGCAAAGAAAATCCCAGAACTATAGCTCAATTTTACATAGGGTTCTTAATATAGTATTCTTAAAGAAGTAATATTGTCAAGTGAATTGTTGTATTCTTATATTACTACTCCACAATGAAACCCATTATTGTGTGTAAATAATATGCACCAATAAAAAATTAAGCAAAAATGGGAAAAATAAAAAAAATATGGAATGATCAGCTCCTAAATTTCATAGATAAAATAATATATCAATTTATATAGTTTCACTTTACAGAATCCTCATAAATTTCTTCTTCAATATGTAAAACTAACTACATATGTATACTTGAGTAAGTTTACCACGACATCCACACAGCAAAATTAAATAAGAGATAAAAAGTTCTCAATAAATATTGGCTTCTTAAAATTAATCTTTCGTTACTTTCCAGTGGTCATTGATAAGTTTGCTATTTGTATCATAAATTTTCAATTCATATGAATTATCTTATCTCCAAAAGATTGTAACAATGTTTAATGACGACCTATATTAATTATAAATTAGAGGTAACTCAACACTCTGGAATTCAGTTCTTCACTCTTTAAGCAGTTATGAAAATACAGAAGAACTTTTCAATGCACAAAACAATTTTGAAATAAGGAAACTAGAATTTCTATACATACTTCTGTCATAAATAGCCCAAACATTCATCAGTTCATTAGCCCAACATTTACTAATGGATTAAATTATTCATTGATTCTAGTCATCTCTGCCTCAATCCAATATGTGGATGAATATTATATTAACATATTTCTTTTTTAAAAATTCACTGCAAAGTAGAGTTTTCATTTTTATGGCACTTGAATATTGATGGAAAATATTGGCATTAAATAATGAAGGTTGTACTCACTTTAAAAATATTTCGAAATAATGATAGCTTCATGGGAATTTTACAAAATATGAGAGATCTCATATACCCTTGAATCAATTTCCCCTAATGATTGCATTTTACATAATAACAGAAAAAATATCAAATCTAGGAAACTAACATGAGTACAATGTGTGTATAGTTCCATGTTCTTTTATCACATATGTACATTTGGATGCAAACCATACCAAGCAATATTCAGAGCTATTCCATCTACAAAGATCTCCCTCATGCAACCCTTTTAAATTTCTGTCCATTTTCCTTCTCCTCAAAGTCAATATCCCCTAGGAACCACTATGTTTTCCTCCATGTTTCTAATGTTGTTTCAGGGGAGTTATAAAAATGGAGTGAAAAAAATATGTATACTTCTGATTATATATAAATATATATATATATATACACACACACACATATATATATATATATATATATATATTTTTTTTTTTTTTTTAATTCAGCACAATGCCCTGGAGCCTAGTTGTGTACATATACCACATTTTGTAGATTCCTCAAAAGATTGGGAAAGGAATCACTATATGACCCAGTTATGCTAGTCCTTGGTATTTATTCAAAATAGCAGCCATCACCTTATATAGTGATCCATGCCAATCAATGTTTACAGCAGCAGAATGCACAATAGCAAAATTAAAAACCAGCCTACCAGTTGTCTGTCAACAGATGAATTGAGCATATTTTCATGTGCTTATCTGTCACCTATATTTCCTCTTTATGAAAATGTTCCATCACATATTTTGTCCATTTTCTAAATGGGTGGTTTGATTTTTAATGTTGAACATTTTTATTATTTTATAGATGATCCTCAATTTACAATGGGGTTATGTTTAAAAAGCCATCACAAGTTGAGAATATTCCAAAATGAAAATATATCTAATACACCTAACCTACCGAGCATCACAGCTCAGCAACACCATATACTCTAGAGTGTGTGGGTAACTGTGTGTTTTGCTGCTGCTGCTGCCTAGTATAATGACAGTGTATCATGCCACATATTACAGGTCCAAGAAAAGACCAGACTTTAAAATTCAAGGTATAATTTCTATTGAAAGTATACGATTTTCATATCATGATAGCATACAAAAAAACATAAGTTGTGCTATAAGTAGGGGACCATCTCTATACCATGACACAAATCTTTTGTTAGATAAATAATATGTAAATATTTCTCTCAGTGTGTACTTATACTATAACTCTGTAAATTCTCCTATGATCTTTCATAGGACAAGATATACTTAATATGACAAATTCCAATTTATCAATTTTTTCTCTTATACATCTTGCTTTTCTGTTATGTTTAAAATCTCTTTAACATGACTTGGTTTTCAAAGAGTTTAACTTACTTTTTCTTCAAAAAGTTTTTAAGTTTTATGTTTTACATTGAAACCTATATTCAGGGTTGAATTAATTTTTGTATAAGGTGTGAAGTTTAGGTTGACGTTCCCAGGGATGCCCATGGATACACAAATGCTCCAGCAACATTTGTTGAAAAGACTATCTTTCCTTCATTGGAACTGTTTTTCATACCAAAAATCATTTCGCTGTATGTATATGAAGCTATTTCTGAGGTTTCTTTTTCTGTTTCATTAATCTACATAGCTTTCCCAATTCAGAATACAGCTAAAAAAAAATCTTAAAATAAGATGTATTGGTGATTCCTTCCACTTTATTCTTTCTTGAAATTGGTTTATCTCTTACTTTCTTGTCATTCCATATTTTTTTAAGAATAAACCTGTCTATATACAAGATACCATGCAGATATTTTGACAGGAATTGCATTAATCCATATGCCAACTGGGGTTTTCATATGTTCACTGCCAGTATATATAAACACAATTGAGTTCTATATTATTCTCTTG